GATTATAATTCTTGGACTATAAATATTGGTCTCTAAATATTGGATTTGAATTTCTAAAATTGGGTCCAAATAAAATAAAGCGGAATTGAAATTAAAATGATTACTCGATATAGGATTCGATTTGAAATAATTTAAATTCATTTATAACGGCTAGACGAACGCGCTATTTCTTTAAAATTAGGGTTAAGGTTTAGCGACATGTTTTTCGAGAAATAATTTTATATCATTTAAAAGTTCTCGGTCGCTACAATACCTGTAACAATAAGCAGCTAAAAATAGGTAACAATCGGAGGTAAGACAAGTGCATGCACTTTCTTTGCAGAATCAATTGAAACTTCAATTTTTTGTGTTCTTTTACTCTTTTTGTTATTTCAAAAATCATTGTGCTTAAATCAATTAGATTATTTCTTTAGTAAAGCAATATTTGATTATGTGAACTTCTTATACTTTTATTTTTATTTTCAATTGTTTTGAGACATATTAATGAAGCATTCGGTTTTTACCTTCACGTCTCTACGCAAAATTCAAACCTATCTTCCTTTTTTTATTATTTTAAATTAGTTAAGAACATTTCTATTAGCTTAAAAGTTAAAATGATACTTTTTCTTTTTCTCAAAGTGATTTTATCCCAATAAGAGTTTTGGTTAAAAATGAAAATTTATTGTAGAAAGTGAACAAGTTTGATCCAAAAATTAAACCAAAAAAGGAATATAAAAACAAAAATAAATCTAAATTTATTCAATATCTTTTTTTTTTTCTCTTTGCATTTCAATATCATAAAAGTATTTAGTTGTTTGAATGTAAAATAGTGTAGATATTATGTGTTTAAAAATATCCCATCTAATTAAAAATTGGAAAAAGTAGAAAAAATATAGTTTAAATATATAGCCCTTGTTTGGGCTCCATTATTTCAATTTATTTGCATTCTCAGATCAATAAATGCATTTAAATAAATTATCATTGGAATTTTTGGTTCAAATTGTCTTTTGTCAATATCGAGATAATATAATAATGCATTATTTATATTATTTCAAACTTCTTAATTCCTCCTCTTGTTGATGAGAAAATTGTCCAATCATATGACAATCAGCAAATCGCATTATAAATCATTACTCGTTAGGGTTCAAGATATTTCATAAGAGTTCAAAATGGACATGTATTAGCAGCATTCTTTAGCCCATGTTTGGCTGCCATTAAATTAAAAATCATTTTTTCCGTATCTTCTTATCAATTACACATTTTTCAATAAAATAATACTACACATAAACGTAAAAAAATTCCTTACTTTTCAATCACACATTCTCCAAAAAATTATTATTCTTCTTATTAAAATATGAAATATTGAAGCCTAAACAAGGGCTTAAGGTCCATCTCATTAATGCACTGTGGCTGATCAATTGTAAGTTATATTGCACTATCAAAATCATTAAATAAAAATATTAGGCTCTGATGATAACCAAAGTATAGCGAGAGAACACTGGTATTAACATGATGCTTATAAGTGTTATTGCTCGTAAAATACCAATCTTTAAGCAGAAATGGAAGTCTTTTAGCCCCTGTTTGGTGGCCATTGTTTTTTTTTAAAAAATATTGTTTTGAATAGAGATTTTTTTTTGAGAATGTGTCGTTAAAAAATAGGGAAACTTTTGGATTTACATTTAAAATATTTAAATATGTGATTATGTACATAGAATAAATAGTTTTGAAAGAATGGGAGACAAATATAGCTTATTCTCAATGGTAATGGTTTAGCAATTAGTTGACGTACTTACCAGTTAATAGTGTTAAATCATTTATCGTCCCAAAAAGTTTTTATCAAAAGTTTGGAATATAATTCACTAACATTGACGAGGCATACTGTCTTAATGGTATAATTTGAAAATTATTCTCAGAATTTAAAATTCGAACAAGTAATCATGTCGACTTCAAGTTGCGAACGTTGTTGACAAGCATTGACATTGATATTTATCGAAAAATTGGAATGTAGATTCATTAGCATTGACTAGACATATTGTCTTGATATATAATCTGAAAATTATGTTTATAATTCAAAATTTGACCAAGTAATCTTGTCAACTTCGAATTGTGAATATAATGCAATCATATAATAAATGTATCTATTAGATACAAATTATATCTAGATAGTCAACATGGAGAGTTATGTGCATACATATTTCATCCTAATTATAAGGATTATCTCAACTTTAGATAGTGATGGTTATGATCAATTGAAATAAACCTTATATGTAAATTATTTGGATTGATAAATCTTTTGGTTCTTCATTAATTTTCAATAATTTCTCACATGATTGTTGATTTGAAAGATCTAACCGGTCATGCCAAATAATAAAATCAAACTTCTGGTACAATATAAGATTTGTTGCAATTATACTAATATTAGTATAATATACCAAGTAACACTGATTTTAGAAACTTTAAAAGTTTCTTTTATGTTTAGTTGAGAACAAATTACTAGCATAAAATTTATCTCCCCTATATCACTTAATATTGGCTCTTCCGAAGATTTCATAAAGTTTTCATGAAATATCAAATCAATTCGTTTGATATTCTTCAAGAATGATTAATTGAAGATTGAGATATTGAGATTGTGCTTCTTCAAGAGCATTGACATTATTCGTATTAAATATTGACATAATACACTTGTACTTCTTTTGGAGCAATATGACTATTTTTCAG